TAGTATCGATCAATAGACGCGGTCTGTTTCTTTTCAACGAGATCCAAGTAAACAACTTACGGGATACCCATGATTGCACAGCAAACGTCGAGTATTATTAGTATTAGATGTAAGACGTGTATAAAAGAGAGACCAGGCGAAGTGAATCGAGATGCGAGGCTGCAGACGGGGTAATATATGACCTGAGTTATTAAGAAGCGAGACGGACTGGGGGGAGGCGCAGAAGGCGAAGTTGAAGCTGGACTTGCTGGCGTATCGAGTTTGTTGTACGGCGATTACGATGAAACGTCCAGCCACCAAACAGCCACACTTGATGGAGAAGCTGAAACAACGACCATGAAAATGATGAACGATTAAGAAGACGAGAAGATGGAGACGAGAAGATGGATGCCTTGTAGAAGGTGTAGAAGGTGTAGAAGTTGCAGAAGTGAGCGCTTCTTCGAGGACTCGACGGCGGAGCAGAAGAGCAGCCGTAGAACAAGAGCAGACAGAGACCTTTTCTTCTCTTCCTTTTCTTCTCTTCTTCTTCTCTTCTTCTCTTCTTCTGTCTCTTTTTCTCGTCTTTTCTTCTTCTTCTTCGACTTTTCGACTTTTTGTATAGAAAAAAGTAAAAATAGGAACACATCACGTGACCAATTACTTGAGCCTCAATATAGACAAAGCTCAAGAAGCAAAAAAGAAGAAGAAGAAGAAAACATCGAAACGATTAGCGATTCACGACCTACGAAGGGAAGATACAGAGAGAATAAAAGGTCTAGCATGGGCATTGGCTGATGATTGACCTTGGCCTTGCCCGCATCGCCCGCCTGGTGCCGTCCAGCTCGCTTGCCTGGAAAGCCATCCACATTGCCGGCACGAATGGTAAAGGATCTATCGCCGGTTACCTGTCGTCGTTACTGACGGCCGGGGGTGTTCGTTGCGGCTCGTTTACCTCTCCCCACCTGGTCGACCGCTGGGACTGCATCACCATCAACGAGCGGACGGTGCACGAGTCGCTCTTCCGACAGGTAGAGGATCAGGTCAAGCGGCTGGACGCCAGCCTGGGGGTCGGCGCAACGGAGTTTGAGCTGCTCACGGCCACAGCCTTTGAGATCTTTCAGCAGGAGAAGGTCGATGTAGGAGTCGTTGAGGTTGGAATGGGCGGCAGGCTGGATTCGACGAACATCCTGACGAGCGAGAGCGTGCTGGTGTCAGTGATTGCGAACATCGGGCTCGACCACCAGGCCATCCTGGGCAACACGCTGGCGGAGATTGCATCCGAGAAGGCCGGGATCATGAAGCCTGGTGTACCCTGTGTTGTCGACGGGACGAACGAGGAGCAAGTCAAGACGGTGGTGAGGGAGCACGCGAGGGGGGCGGGCACTACCGCTGCCTTTGTCGAGCCGGAGAGCATGGTGTCTGCCTATCCACAGCTGCGGCAGAGATTCCACGACCTGGCGGCGCAGCCACATCAACAGTCGAACATCTCCTGCGCGATTGCTGCCTTGGAACATGCCCTACCACGGTTACGACCAGACCTGAAGCCCAGTGATCTACTTCCGTTCCTACCTCCCAACCCCCGCGCCGGTAGGCTGCAGCTCATCGATCTGTGGCCCCTCATACCTAGCCGTGAACTTGTGCTGCTGGACGGTGCACACAACCCTCAGTCGGCCAGAGTTCTCTCATCCTACGTCGACCAGACGCTGCGTCGTCCGGAGGCAAACATCACCTGGGTCATTGCCGCATCCCAGGGCAAGAACCTACAGGAACTGTTTGGCTGCATGCTCCGGCCGGGAGATAACGTAGCAGCTGTCCAGTTTGGCCCTGTCGACGGGATGCCATGGGTTAGGAGCGTTCCCGCCGCCGACCTTCTCACAACGGCCCGGTCCATCACCGATACAAAAGGGCCAACCTCGACCACCCAGTTTGGACATGACATCCTACAGGCACTGCAGTGGGCACATAGCACCGCCGCTGGCAACCCCATCGTCATCGCCGGCAGTCTCTACCTCGTATCTGACGTCCTCCGTCTCCTTCGCCAGACTGCCGCAGATGCAGACGCAGACACACATGTGGCTCGCACTGTGGCTTATGTATAATATAATATAGATATTGGAATAATCCGACGGGCAATCCGGTTTCTCTCAGATCTACAGTCTCTCCCCCTTTTCCCCGGACTCTTTCTGTGCGCATCTATCTGTATCTTTGTATCTTCCCAATTAATCTCTTCTTGTCATACAAAGCAGCAACAGAAAAGCCCCTTCGACACAGTAGACTTACCCCTGTTCTCTTACTCTAGAACCATCCTTATATCGAGTGTAAACTCTTCTTCTCCTTTTCTCCTTGATAAGTGATACACCCAGAAAAAAGCGTCATCGCTCAATCCTTAATTTCTTCTTCTTCGCCAGACGATCAAGAAAAATAAATATACAACTCTTTGAAATATACACGGCAAAGAAGACGCTCCCACGCTGACGGGCGGGTTGAATGTTTGCTAATTCGCCCTGCAAGCTTGAACAGGAACGACGCCCAACTCTTCTTGCTCCCAAAACAACCTTGCGCGGGCACCGACAGGACAGACAGCTCCCTCTCCGCCCCCTGGCTTCGCTTGTTCTCTCCGCTTGCATCGCCTTCTTTCGTATCTGGAGGACAGCCTCTGTCTCTCTGCTGTCGGTAGCCATCGAACCGTCTCGCAAACATTGACGACCAGAGGACAGCTGCTATAGCCCATCAGGCCACCCAGACGGGCTGCTCGTAAATCGATGTGCAACGCCCGTGTGGTCCTCGTACCTGACATGAGATCACAGCCGTCGCCACTAGGAGCGTCTCCCTTTTCACCGCAACTCCTCCGCCACGCCGTTAGCATACATACGCCGGCCCTCCCGCCAGCAAACAGTCGCGTACAGGTAGATACAGATACAGCGGACCAGCCAAACGATGGTGGTGTCCCGACCCCGCGAGCGCGAGCAACAGGATGATGGAGACGCCACCCGCACCACAAATACCCCTACCAGAATGTCGAGAGCGGACTCTAGCCCGCCAAAGAAGGAGAGGGAGAGAGACAGGCAGATCAAGTCGTCGGCCAAGGACGTTGCGGAACTCACTGACTTCGTATGTCTTTTCCCTCTTATCTGCTGCGGGGGGAGGGCATCTTTGCCACTGCATGATATTAGATATGTGTGTGAGGGACAACGGTTTCGGCTAATAGGTGCCAAAATGATAGCAATTAGGGGACTGCCTGGGCAAAGGCGCCTTCGGATCTGTCTACAGAGCTCTGAATTGGGGGACTGGCGAGACCGTTGCTGTCAAGCAGATACGGCTGGCAGACCTGCCAAAGAGTGAATTGAGGGTTATAATGGTGAGTGTCCCTGCTTTCTGAATCATACATACATGACATTTAATATATATAAACTTGGCCTGATCTAATCCATTCTCTTCTGCAGCAAGAAATAGACCTGCTGAAGAATTTAGATGTAAGTTGTGGGCAATTTGATACTGGATCAGGAACCCGGTCTCGATCCAAGGTAACTGACCGCAGCTTAGCATCCGAATATCGTCAAGTACCATGGTTTTGTAAAGTCTGCAGAAACACTAAACATCATATTAGAGTATGTTATTTACTCCTTTGCTCGGTATCTAGAATCTGACAACCTCTTGCTAGATACTGTGAGAATGGGTCACTGCACTCGATCTCTAAAAACTTCGGTCGTTTCCCTGAGAACCTGGTTGGCCTGTACATGTCACAGGTCCTCCATGGACTGCTATACCTGCACGAACAAGGCGTCATTCACAGGGACATAAAAGGTGCAAACATCTTGACCACCAAGCAGGGCCTGGTAAAGCTCGCAGACTTTGGTGTTGCCAGTCGAACTACCGGACTTAACGAGTCCAGTGTTGTTGGAACACCATATTGGATGGCCCCGGAGGTCATAGAGCTCTCAGGCGCAACAACGGCGTCGGATATCTGGAGTTTAGGCTCTACGGTCATCGAGCTCCTTGAAGGGAAACCTCCGTATTATAAATTTCAGCCCATGCAGGCCCTGTTTCGCATCGTCAACGATGACCACCCACCTCTTCCTCAGGGTGCTTCTCCCGTGAGTAGCCCTCCTTGCCTTGCCAATATGATAGCTACTAATTATCATTTCTAGGCTGTAAGGGACTTCCTTATGCAGTGCTTCCAAAAGGACCCGAACCTACGTGTTTCTGCTAGAAAGCTGCTTAAACACCCCTGGATAGTCAATGCTCGTCGGTGTGACTCTGTTGTGCCAAAAAAATCCACAGAGTACGAGGAGGCAGTCAAGAGTGTCCAGGAGTGGAACGAGGCACTCCGGTCGCCTAATTCAAATGCCATCCGGAAGACCTCTCAACAACAGTCAGCGATAGGGAGCAGCCCCATTTCAACACAAAAGGACCCTTCCCTAAACCCTCTAAGTATACCAAACCGAGACGCCCTATCTCTTCTAAACACGAATGCCGCAGAAAAATACCGCTCCCCAGAGAACACCAACGACGATAACTGGGATGATGACTTTGCCTCCGCCATATCCCCCGGTGCTCTCCGCCTGCCACACCTCAAACCGCAAGATAACTTCGGCGGAATGTTATCCCCCGAAAAACTAAAGGCTTTCGCATCCCTCGAAGGCATAACCGAGCTCTCCCAGCCAGACGGCTCAGCTATACATGATGACGGCCAGATTAATGAATCTATGAATAATGACGAACCTGACCCCTTGCAGACTATTCGGCCACGTTCTCGAAGGTCTCCTGATGATGACGTTATGCCACCACGTAGCCTTCGCAGGAGGCATAGACAGTACCCTGTTTCTGCTTTTAGGAGAGGCCCGATAATATCATCAGCCGCAGGAGCAGCTAAGCCAATCCGCCAGCGGCCGGCAAACTTTTACGAGGAAAGTTCGGTAGAGGACTATTCAGATCTCATTGAAGCAAATGATGAGGTCTTGGAGAGCAAATTATCTGCCATACCGGTGAGAATGCCCATTGATTATCTTTGACACTGAAATTTTCACTCTTCTAACAATTCGTAGGGTATCGGACAGGAGGAAAATACCGCTCAGATACAAGCCGCAATGGGTCAAGATATCTTCTCCGGAGACGAAAACAGCCCACAAAAGCCAAGTTCGTATAGGCGCAAAAGATCTGAGCTCTCTCGGTCTCGGTCAGCGATTGAGATTGAAATGTACGCCGAAGACGAGGCAGATGAGGACTTTTCTGATATTTTGGGTGATGATGAAAATACCCTCGTCAAATTAGAAAGCGACGATGGTTCAGACCACAGCACCTTAATGCTGAACTCGAAACTGTCTACTAACTCGTGGCTTGGCGATATTGATGATGAAGATGATCCGTTTGCACAATTAGAAGAAGGCCTAGATGAGCTGGACTTGGAAGCCAATATTGCACGAGATAAATATGCACGCTTGCGAAATCAGGTTGAAGGCTTGGTTAGCTCTCTGAAGACATCACAGGATGACGAAATTCTAGTGGATATCTCGGAACAGCTAGTATGCCCCCTCTCCTTTCCTCTCTTATACTACAAGTGTTTGCGTGGTTTATACAGTGTCATACTAACCCAGCTCTTCCCAGATGACTATATTTTCAGACATGCCTGAGACTAAGTCTGTGATTATGAGTGCGCACGGCATGCTTCCGATCCTAGAGATATTAGACACCTGCCGGCGCCGAGATGTTATCTCCAACCTGTTAAAAATAGTTAATGCGGTGCGCTTTACCACCCCTTATTCTCCTCGCAGATGGTCAATACATTAAACGCTGATACATGTTGTTACAGATCATCTACAACGATTACGAGATCCAAGAAAACCTCTGCTTCGTTGGTGGAATACCGATCATCAATAAATTTGCTTCGAAGAAATATCCAAGGGAAATCCGTCTTGAAGCAGCCGCATTTGTCCAACAAATGTATCAGACATCCACTCTAACATTGCAGATGTTCGTCAGTGCTGGTGGACTGAACGTCCTTGTTGAATTTCTTGAGGATGATTACGAAGATGAGAGGGAACTAGTTTTGATCGGAGTCAATGGCATATGGAGTGTGTTCGAGTTGCAGGTATGTACATGATTCTTGTAGCACTTCAGCTTTATCGGTATGGTGTTACTCAATACTAACATGAATAATGCATTATAGGGCTCGACTCCAAAGAATGACTTCTGCCGAATACTGTCTCGCAATTCTGTCTTAGATCCCTTGTCTCTCGTCCTGAGCAGAGTACTCGATGAGGAAGAGGGTGAAATGGCAGAGGTCTGCGAGGCTCGTATTTCTAATATTTTCTTCATTTTCTCGCAAGCGGAAAGCCACGTCAAAGAGATGGTTGCGGAGAGAACTGTCCTACATCGTGAGTAGAGCAATATTTACCCACACTATATAGCACATTTGGCAATACTAACACTCTTCAAAGGCGTATTGAAAGAACTAAAGAGGATGTCACCCAGTCCCCAGATAACGATGCTAAAATTCATAAAGAATCTCTCCATGCTATCCACGACACTCGACTCCCTTCAAAATTCGAATGCTATTGATGTTCTTACTGAACTTCTCCGTTCAACTATGAAAAAGCCCCATTTCCGTGAGGTATCAAATCAGATATTGAACACAATCTATAACATGTGCCGTCTCAGCAAATCAAGGCAAGAAGACGCGGCTTTGAACGGTATAATACCATTACTGCAAAAGATTGTCAAAACCGAACGGCCGTTGAAAGAGTTTGCACTTCCTATTCTCTGTGACATGGCACATTCTGGCAAGGTTGGCCGCCGCGAGTTGTGGCGTAATAAGGGCTTAACCTTTTATATCTCCTTACTATCGGATCCATACTGGCAGGTAACAACATTGGATGCTATATTTACCTGGTAATTTACCCTCTATTTTGCCATATACTATAAACAATACCCTTGCTAATAAGTATAACCAGGCTCCAAGAAGAAACCGCCAAGGTTGAAGAGTATCTTCTTGATACCCAACATGGAGATTCCTCATTCACAGTCGCTATCATCCGATGCATGACAATATCAAAAGCTAACGCCTTTGAGAATCTTCTTGAACCTCTGCAAAAACTGCTTCGGCTAAGCCCTGCCATCGCAGCTACCCTCGCCAGACCCGATATGTTTGAACGTATTGGACAAAAACTACAACATACCAAGCCCTCTGTCAGAGTAAACTTGCTCCGTATCCTATCTACGATATGTGATTCCAGCCAGGAACAATGTGGCCTTCTCAGCCGCTACGGCCTGCTCGATGCCATACGGGAGCTGCAGAAAGACTCACGAGTCCTTGTTAGAGAGCTTGCTGGCCAACTGGTTAAAAACACTGAGGAAAGTGATAGCGTCAGCCTGAATGGGTCCAAACGAAGACCGGCTCAAAGACGAAGGAGTACGTCTACGGCAGCACCCCCCGCCCTAATCTCAAGCCATTCCATGCCCGCTTCCCCTCAAGTGACTAGGCCGATCCCACAAAAGCCATACTATGAAGCTCGAGAGGCTCCTCGTCGTCAAAATGGGCTTGATAGCTCTCTTAATCTCCGCCCCGGAAGTCGGGATGGTAGAGGGCCAACCATTCATCCCGGCCTATCGGGGAATGGTAACACAGGGCTACAAAGCAAGACTCCACGGCTAAATCATAGGTTATCGCAACAAATGTTACCAGGTTCACCACAAAAGGAGGAAGTCAGAACTCCTACCTCCGCCCGAGCGCCATCCCTCCTTCAACCATCGTCACGAAGGCGCAGGCCAACGAATAGCAGCTCAAACTGGACTTGAAAAGGCCATTTTGCTCCAAGGAGGAAGGGGGCCGTCTGTATTTATTAAAGAACGATTGTGGAGTCGGCGTATTTGGTGGGTAAGATATTTTCATGTGTCTTTCTTGGAAGCATCTTTATATAGGCGCATAACCGGATACGCCAATTTTCCTTCCTATGAATACTCTATAGCGTTTTATTACATTTGGAGGCTGGAGCCCGAAGCCTTATTATTTATCTTACCTGATTCTTCCTTACATGCATGATAGAATACTTCTGGAGAGAAGTTCTTATTTGGGTTAAATATGTTGTACTATTATACTTGGGGGCTATCGCCCATGAGAGGACAACGGTAGTTATAACTTATACGGTGGAATGAGCGCTAAATTTTTATGAGTTGCGAGTGCCGCCAGACCTCCATGCCCCGAACATCCATCCCCAGTTTCGTAGATATCGTATAAATAAAAAACCGTTTCCGAAGTAAAGTGTGAATGTGACATAACTCATGGCCAGTTTGTGTCATGGTGCTTTCACCATGGAGGGCCGTTAGTCTATAGGTAATCTCAGTAATCATCACCTCGACTAATGACCTCCTTTACATTTGGTCGCAGCAATATAGTCTACGGATTATGTTAGCAAAAGAGACGATGAAAGGGTCCGAGTTATTACAGGCAAAATATGACTTACATGTTCAAATTGGGCTGTATATGATCCCTTCACATCACAGAGCGGAGGATATGCATCGACAAGGCCAGATGAGACTAGGTTGTTCAACTAGATATGGATGTCAGCACGGGTAATCCCGGTATAGATAAACAGTTTCATCATCTCGAATGATATGAAAGGAGGCTACTTACCCCAAGGAGGTATTTTTCCTGGCCGAGGCGATCAAGGTATCGGCGACAGAATGGTAGAGTACCGAAATTCTTGTTGATAAGGCTGTACAAGTTCTTTGCAGAAGACAAACGAAGAGGCACGCTTGGAGCATTCGGAACTTTAGCATAATGAGATGTTTCCATCTGTCCGTTTTGGTCAAGTTAATATTGAACATGCGGTTTCGTGATTGTTGAGGATCACTTACATCATCCCTAACATATCCTTTTCCAGTACTACCAAAGGTTTCGATGGCATAAGTTTCACCTTCTTCCATCTTGGTTTGGTCACCGCCTTTAACGATTGGAACACTCTTCCCGTTTACTCCACCGTGAATTTCGTACTGGCCGATTGTATGGCCGTTCAGGTTACGAACGGCCTTAATGGGGTATGATGTGCCGTTTATCTCGAGTTCATAGCTCTCCATCGTTTCCTGAATGGCTGCGCCGATATCACTCATGCGGACATCAATACCAGCTTCCTATACGGGATTACACGATTAGCCAAGGGGTTGCTACAGTATGTTCAAGGGCTAGGCATACTTTGATTCCGGTGTTGGTTGCCTCCTTGACAGCCGTGAGCAGAGGGTCAAAAACAGGGTCAAACGCGACGGTGAAAGCACTGTCTACGATTCTGCCATTGACATGGACACCAAAGTCCACCTTCATGACATCACCATGTTGAAGAACAACCTTGTTTCCGGCATTGGGGGAATAATGGGCTGCACAATGGTTGATATTCAACCCGGTTGGGAAACCCATTCCAGCAATCAAGCTGTCTCCTTCTTCCAGACCCATGTGGCCGGTCAGGTGGCGGACTCCATCCTCAATACCCTCGGCGATATCGGTCAAGGTGGCACCAGGTTTGATGAGCTCCTTTTGCGCATACTGGCGGACCTGGCGGTGGATTTCGGCAGCCTGGCGGTACTCAGTGAGGAAATCATTGTTCATGCGGTCGAGATGCCTCTTTTCTTCGTTTGTGGTACGATAGGAGTTGTCGTTTAGGTATTCCACAATCTCTCCCTCGGGGAAGGCATTGTTAGGGAAAAGAGTGGTCAAGGGTATCCGTGGTGGGCTCGACTGGACCTTGGCAGCCTTCTTCTTCTTCTTTGATCTCTTCTTCTTCTTTTTCTTTTCCGCTAGATTGGATATCGTCTTTAGTACGCTTCCTCATTGGGTTCATTGGGAACAGTGTCAAGACGAACTGTTTACTTCAGCAGAACCGCCTGCCTCGTCTTTATCATCGTCTGAGTCTCCTTCATTCTCAGCATCGTCTTTATCAGACCCTCCATTGGAGACAACGTTCGCCTCGGCAGAGCCACTATTCTTGTTCACTGAAGAGGATCGCCTGTTAGATTCATTGATATATACATGGGAAAAAGGTACTTTAGAACGACCCAACATCGAGGTAGCTATGATGGAAGAGCAAGGGGAGTATAGCAGTATTTATCTTACAGTCAAGCTTCGCGAGCTCTGGGGCGGTCTGAGCAGCCATTATAGAGCAAATCGACCGGTTTAAAAGTGGTTGATTGTTGAGTTCGTTACTTTGGGCGGGAAGTGGGTTGGTTTTTATACAGGATCTCGTATAACTATATCGTCACCAAGACTATTAACTCACAGGGAAAAATATTTTAGCCGAACAACAAAGCTTGTACTTGGAAGTTCCGCATGCGACTTCTACCGGGATTCCGAACGGAGCCAGTCACCTATAAAATACAATAGAAAAAAGGCAGGCTTTTTGGCATTTGCTGCAGTTTGGAATTTTATGTCGTTTTTTTTTTTTTCTTTTTTACTTATTTTCAGCCTTAATTTTCTGAGAGTGACTGATCATGTGACCTTATCGGCGATAAGCCGGAGTTTTTCGACTTTCAACTTCGAACGACGAGCACAAACAACAAGAGAATCAACAGCCGCCGGTCTTTTATTTTTTTTCCTTTGCTGGAGAGAGGATAGAAGAGATGAAGGAATGCCCTTCTGCTCCTATAACCCGTGCTTGCGACATAGAACAGCTTCCCTCTTCTGCCGTCCAATAACACGGCTGCGTCTCAACCACTTCTCCTCCACAGCCATCCGCGCCGCAGCTGAAACATACTATGACATACTCGGTGTATCAATCACTGCGACTACAGACGAGATCAAGAAGTACGCAATTGATTCCGGTTACGTGGTATCCGCGGCGTTGTATCAATATTCCTTGGCTAATTGGTAAATGAGTAGAAAGTTCTATGCTCTCTCTCTAGCCCACCATCCAGATAGAAACAAGGATCCAGGCGCGGCAGACAAATTCTCCTCGATATCATCTGCCTACCATGTCCTTGCCAACCCTAAGAAACGAGCCCGATATGATCGAGAGCACGACATTCGCACCCCCACGGCCCAAGGCACCACCAGGCCGGGAACAGGCAGTTTCTCATCAGCATCGGCCAGCAGTTCGCAATTTGGCTCGCGTCCTGCGTCGGGTCTAAGCAAACGCAGAGGGACATTCAAGGGGCCTCCACCTAGCTTTTATGCGAATGGGGGGTACGGGGCTAGCCATAGACAGCATCAGCACCAGACCCACCAGCCGCAGCAGGAACATCCTGAATATCATCACTCTGACGTTCCGCACTTTGATGCAGGGTCCCATAGGCGGACCCAGTCGCATGAAGATATGAGGCGGCGGATGAGGAGGGCGAGATCTGCGGAGGAGCAGAAGAGGCGAGCGGCTGCCGAAGGAGAGACGTTGGGCGGTGGGTATGATGGGGGAAGCATGACCATGAGGTTTTTAGTTATATCGGGGATTTTAACGGTGGCTATGCTGAGCGCGAGCTTTGGAAGGTCGAAGGTAGAAGAACCTGGATTACGAGAGTTATCTGCGAGGCAGAAACAGCCTCGGACAGAGTAGCAGCACTAAGGTGAGATGAAAGAGACAAGGTATGTATAAATTGTTGTCTTTGTACAATGTCATCGCCGCCCTTGTGTAAGGTATAAGACGAGAAGGCGGCTGGTGTGTATATATAAATGAATAATTAGACAAGAGCGTTCTCTCCTACAAAACGTCAACGTCAACCGCTCCAGTTCGGTCCAAGCCATGCACTTGAAATAAAAAAAACCGACGGAAAAGGAGCAAATGCGTAAATGACTAGGGATATAGTAAAAATGAGTATATAAGAGTACTAGAATCCGAAGACAAAAGAATTTATTTGGCTATAGAAACTTTAAGATGTCAAAAGGGGAACGCATAAGTTCTGAGATAGTACAGGGGAACGCTAGAAGACAAAGCATTCGGTATGTTCCTATTGGCAGGTTATGAGTTGATCGGTCAATCGGTGCTGGTCAAGTAGCACTGATTTAACCCTCAAAGGTGAAGCTGGCGCCAACCTTGTGGGCAGCCTGGTTGAGGTTCTGGGTATCGAAGGAAGCACCGAGGCCAAGGGTGACACCTGGGCGGAGGAGGACGTTGTAGGCGAGAGCAGCGATACCGCGGTCGTTGATCTTGGCCTATAGTGATATGGTAAGCATGTATGCCGGCGTTGAATTTATTATGTAGGTGAGTATGGCGTAGCACATACCTTGGCGAAGGAAGATGGGTCGAGTCTGTACTTGCTGGCAACCTCGAGACCAACGGTGTTTCCGGACTTGGAGTCCCAGGTGGCCTTGGCACCAGCCTCAACCTGAGCGTTGACGCGGTGGTAGTAGCTCGCGGCGAAGACGGAGAGGTTGTTGGAGGCAGTGATGGCGGCAGAGTACTCTGGGAGGGAGTAGGCGACAGCAGCGGAGTACTTGGTGATGGCGGCCTTCTGGACGTCATAACCGCCCTCAGCACCGACGAGGAAGCCCTCGTGGCCAAGGACAGCGTCGAAGTTGGCAGTTGGGCCCTTGAGGAGGTCAAAGAAAGCACGGGTGTGCAAGTTTGGCTGCTTGAAGTGGAGGTTCAACTTGGCACCCTTGGACTGGGAGTAAGGGATGTACTGTGTGAGAATCTCGGCCTTGAGACCCTTGGTGATGTTGTTGTCGAGCTCGAGCTTGGTGTCGAGGGCGTTTCCGGTGGTCCACATCTGGGTGAGGGTGAGGCCTGGTGGGAGGTCAGTCAAGGCGAGTTCAATTGATGAACGAAGCAGTAGCTTTGGATATCTTTACCGGATGGCGCATCGACATATTTGGCCTCGAGCTGTTTTTTCGATGTAAAATTAGCAAATGTAAATAATGTCTCAATTGGAAGTATTGCGAAAAAAAAAGACTTACAGATCCAGCAATGGAACCCTCATGGGCAGACTTTCCCTTCACGTTGAAGGTAACGCCATTGGGGGCCTTGGACTTGACCTCGAGGCTGGCTGTTATGCAATTGAGTTGTGGTCAGCGCTTAAAGCTAATAATAAAAGAGAACAACAACGTTCTAACGACGACTACAATCCAAACAAACACAAGCAGCATCACGTACCTGGGCTGGTGTGGTAGAAATCCTTGTTCAGGAGCTGCAGAGAATGCGATTAGCTTGTGCTCTCTTCTTATTGTCCTTTAAGCCTATGAAGAGAAGTTGTTGGGGGAGGTTTTGGGGGGAGGGGCCGCCGTTGAAGAAGAAGCGCGCGAGGAAGAGAGGTAGCAGCAATGTCTTACATCGTTGGCAGCCTTAGCAATGTCACTGTAAGCAGCTGGGGCAGACATGGTGATGGCGATGTCCCTTTTCTTTTGTATGTCGGCGTAAAGAGAAGAAGGTGATGAAGTCGATGAAGTTGATGAGAAGAAGAAGAAAGTCGAAAGAGGAAAAAGACGGAAGAAGAAAAGCCGGGAAAAAAAAAACAGCAGGTAGAGTCACGTGGTTAACAGGCAACCCAAAACGGCGTGGAAAGGGACGAGCTCCTATTGGCCAGTCCCTGTCACGTGATACATCTTCATTTATACGAGATGAAAGCAAAGAAAGAGAAGAAGTACGATGGTCTATTAAGTCCAGGATCTCACTTTTGGATAGCTACAAAGAGAAGGATATATACCCCTAAGAATAAGAAGATACCCCAAGAGAAGATAAAGGAGGAAAGAGTCCTTGTTTTTATCTCACTGCTCACTCATACTTGGCAACGTGGGTAGAGATGGCCCTAGAGGGTTATTAGCAGGAGATAAGAAGACAGACAGAGAGGGAGAGAGAGAGAGAGAGAGAGACGAACCGTCCGCTGGGGTCAGTCTGTTTGGACCATGTGGGAGTCCACCTCATGACGGTGGATGCACAGTATGGAGGGAAGTGCTCGTCGAACATCATGCGGTACCAGTATCTAGAGTGCTGTCAGCCTTCTCCTGTCTGCAACTAATGATTGGGTCAAAACATACGCCTCCTTGGAGTCAGGGATGTCGTCTCCCCATTCTGGCTTGGGGTTCTTCATCATCTCGTCGGTGACATGGAGCTCGGCGTTGTCCTTGAGCGCATCGATCCAGCCGTACCCGACCCCGTCGCTGAACTGCTCCTTCTGGCGCCACAGGTACTTCTCGGGAAGATATGGCTTCGTGTCTGGCTCATCGGTGGTATCGAATGCCTTGCGCAGGATATACTTCTCGGTCCTCTCCTTGTTGATCATCTTCTCGGCAGGGTCAATGCCCATGGCATCCTCGAGGAACTGCTTGTCCAGGAAGGGAACGCGGGCTTCGACACCCCATGCAGAGGTGGATTTGTTTGCGCGCAGACAGTCTGCGAGATGGAGGTTCTTGACTCGTCGGACGGTCTCGGTGTGGAAGGCGGCCTTGTCGGGGGCGGCATGGAAGTACAGGTACCCACCGAAGATCTCGTCACTGCCTTCTCCGCTGAGCACCATCTTCACGCCTAGACCCTTGATCTTCCTGCTGAGGAGGTACATGGGTGTCGAGGCACGGATGGTGGTCACGTCGTATGACTCGAGATGGTAGATGACATCGGACAGAGCGTTGAGGCCGTCTTCGATGGTGAAGGTGAGGGCGTGGTGCTTGGTTCCGAGGAACTCGGCGACCTCGATGGCGGCCTTGGTGTCTGGGGCGTTGGGAAGACCGATGGAGAAGGAGTTCAATTGCGGGAGGGTGGTGACGGTGGAGATCTCGTTGGTGTCGTCGATTCCAACCAAGCCGGCGTCAGCTCCCGTGCCGTTTGCTGCGCTCTTCTGCTGCTCCTTTTGCGCGGCCTGCATCCTCAGCGTCTCGCGCTGGGCGATCGAAGCGACCAAGCTAGAATCAAGGCCGCCAGAGAGCAATACTCCATACGGGACTTCGGCCATCAGCCGTTTCCTCACGGCCTTCTCGAGGCCCTCACGGATCAACTTGTAGTCTACGGGAGCCGATGGAACGTTGGTTGGGTCCCACCACTTGGGCTGGAAGTACCGGGTCATGGTATCTGTCTTGGAGTCATAGACATGGCCTGGAGGGAAGGATATGATCTTATCACAGACAGGGTGGAGAGACTTGAGCTCAGAAGCAAAGTAAACCGCACCGGGGGTCTTTGAAGACCATCCCTGATAGAAACTTGTGATTCCGATCGGGTCTCTGGCAGCTACTACTCGGTCCTCCTTCTTGTCGAAGAGCACCCAGGAGAACATACCGTCAAGGAACTTGGGCGCATCAACGCCATGTTCCATATACTGCCAAGATGTAAGCAATTAACCCTCATCAACTATGCATTATCACAAAACATACTAATGGGATGACAACTTCGCAGTCAGAATGTGTCTTGAAGTTGTAAGGGGTCTTTAGACCCTTTCTGATGATTCGATGATTGTATATCTCGCCATTGACTGCCAGCGCCAATGTCTCATCATCGTTAACAAGAGGCTGAGCCCCGGAGTCTACCAGCCCCAGTGTCAGCTATAGGAGAGGAAAAGAAGCAGAAAAAGAAACCCTACCAACTCCGACGATGCTCAATCGCTCGTGTGCAAGAACTAATCACTGTTAGCCCGTTCCATTTCCCTGCGTGCGTGAGCCGGCACTCACTTGTGTTGTTGGAAACGAAGTTTCCACTCCAGTCAGGACCACGATGGCGCAAGCTGTTCCATTCAATCTTGTCTTAGCCAGGCATGTTCTCCTCTTCTTCCCCACCATCCTCTCTCAGGAGAGATAGATGCTAGCTTGCTTGCCCGAAGTGCAGGGAGAACCGGAAGATGACTCACGCTTTCGCCATGCGCAACGCAGTCGGCTTGAACTGCTTCACATCAGGGTGACTATTAACAAGCAGCAGTTAGCACGCAGTAGCACTCTGTAGACTTCAATTGCCCACCAAAACAGACGGAGAAGCAGAAGTGGATGGGGGAATAAAAAAAGGTGCCGAAAAAGCGCAGCAGCGACGGGAAGTCATACCAATGACAAGCAAATATGCCACACATCTTTGGCAGAGAGTAGATAGAAATATCACCTATATCAGATCTGTAGTGGCTCAAGAACCAAAAAGTCCCAATTGATCCAGCGGTCTTCCTTGTTTCTCCTTCTTGTCTCTCTGTCTCTTGTCTTCTTCTTCTTCCGAGGGGCAAAATAAAAAAAAAGTGATTTTTATAAAGGTGGGAAACTAAGTTTTTGACTCACTCGGGAGGAAAAGAAGATAAGAAGCGGAAGAGGCGATAAAGCTAGCTTGACGGTCTTCTTCCGGTGTAAGTTATTTACTGCTAGCTTGCGCCTTGTCGTCCGTCTTCTGTCCGTCTTCTAGTCCTTTGTTTTCTAGTACAAGGATGGACGAGCAGATACAAACCGCTCCAAGCCTGCTTCCGATGACGGAGCTTGGTAGCTTGACCTTCGCCGCGCCAATCGGATAATGAACGACCGGTGATTTGCTTTCCACCCCTTGTCCCGCGCAGGGCCAGGGATGAAGCCGCTGGTCCTGTAGGCGCCCAGTTAGCGCTGTCCCCCTTTTTTTTACGTTTATTATATATACGACGGGAGTATCAATGATGTACGAGGTATAGATACGGAATCATCTAATCAGGCCGTTGTCATTCATAACTCATAAACTAGACGTGAAGGTCTGGTACATAACTCCCCCTAACATAGATCAAATGGACATGGGAAGGGTAAGAAAGTAGATCTGGACGGGGCATAAACGCCATGCTAACGTGCGATATGAAAGGGGAAAAGCAAGAAGAAAAGAGAGAGAGATGGGGTTGCTGGCCCTTCTAAACAGCAGGGTGCTCCTTTACCACCTGCCGTACTTTCTTCTCGTAGGCAGGACGGTCCTTTTTGAACAGGTTGTAGGCCTCAGCCTGGGCTGGAGACTCTGGGTTGGGGTCGTCCAGTAAATCTTGGATACCCAGAAGAATTTGCTTGATCGTGATCGCAGGCTTCCATCCGTCGTCCTCAGCGAGGATAGACAGGCACACTGTTCCTGATGGGTAGACGTTGGGATGGAAAAGTGGCGGCACGAATTTGCCTACATAGGTATTCCTTCGTTAGACAAGGTACTGCACACACACGGATATATAGAACCTCTCTCTCGCAGAGTCGGATCTCGTAGAAAACATACATTTCGGTGGTTTTGTAGGGTACTCTGCGCAAAGGATACCTCCGTCAGTTTGAGCTGTTCCCGGGTCAAAAAGGGAATGAGAAATCAGGGCAACTCACCGTCAGGAAAGATAAAGTCAAGCTTGAAAAGGCCTCCGTCCCAGAGTGTCTTTGGTTTGCCGGGCACACCGCATTCCCATCGTTTCAGATCAAGTGCGCCTTGCGGCGTCCGGTATGGCTTCGCATAAAACCCGAATGGGTGGTCCCGCCGCCATTGCTTGCTGGTCACAGTGGAAAAACAAGGTGAGCCTCCAGTTTGGAGTCAAGCTATATGTTCTCCAGGAGAGAAGACTTACCGTTCCTCAGTGAGTCTATTTATGCAGAGAGACATGTTCGTTGCCTTGGTCTGGAGGGGAGCTGATATCTAGAAGTAGCAAAAGGCTGGAGAAAGGAAGATGGCTAGCAAGGTATCAAGAAAGGGTCTCCGTTTATGCGAACAACACTAGCAACACAAGTATAACACAGAAGATCGTCTTTGATCTGCTCACTCTTTTATATTCTTGATCTTGATCTTGTTGCTTTGCTTTTTTTTTGCCTTCAAGATCGATTCAAGTGAAAAAGAAGGTTCTGGGCAGTGGGGATGTCACGTGCATATGAACACTAAGCTCTTACTAACAAGCTTCTATAATATAAAACATCTGCTACTAGAAACTCCAAGGGTGATATCATAAATTATGTCTCTAGACGTGGCCAACTGTAGCTAAACAACACTGAAGTGCTCCCGGTAGGATAATCTTCTGATGGGTATAAAAGGGGCTCATTCATCATATCTTCCCTCTTCAAATCTTTCACTGTCGAAGAAGCGTGCCGTTATCGTATTGCCATTGAATATTCGACCCTCGAGCGCATTAACCGCCTACATTTAACAGTTAGCAAGATCCAGCGTCTAATAAAGTCTTGTCTGAACTCACTCGCAAGGCAGAGAGTTGATTAGTGAATTTTATAAAGACAGGGATCTTGTCTTTGCTGTTTCGATCGATATACACTCGTTCAACACGACCATACTGTCCACTTCTGTCAATACCATCATAGGAAAAAGCCCAAGAGGAGGTGGGATTACGTGTATATGACATACCTTTTCACCGCACTCCTCCCCTATCTCCTGCATTAACTCTCCCGATTCCAGTTCTGCATCCAGGTCTAGCCCATCTACCATTCCGTGCAAAATGACAACGTCAGACATGGGACCAAACTTCCCATGCTCTTCCTGTTTTCTATCACCACCAATGATTTTACCCCTTGCACCGCCGGGTGTGACAAGGCCCCCTCCTTCGGAGTCCGGCTTCCTCTTCTGCTTCAGTACCTTGGCCTGAAGGGGGTTGACTATGCCGGACTCGTTCGCTCCGAGCCCGGAGCCCTTTGTCCAGCCATATTTAGTCAATAGTCGCTCTGCAAACCCTTTCTGCCCTGGTCGAAGGGAGCGAGGGGCATCCACGTCTCCTTCCTTGCCTGCCTCTTCCCTTTCGTTGGCGAACGTCGCCTCTAGTTCAGCCTCGGTCGCAGGAATGTCTCCAGGTGCGTCAGGTAATGCGTATCGAACCGGAGGACGAGATATAGTCACCGCGCCGTAAGGTTGGCTAGCCTGGGCTGCTGGAGGAGGTATCTGCTCAATAGAGGGTGGTTGTGGTGGCTGGGGCGGTGGTTCACTCTGGTTGATATTCGCGCTCAGTCGCAACCGTCGCGCATACGCCTCTTCACCGGTTGAGTCATCAGGGATTTCCACTGCAGGCTGTGGGACGGCTTCTGAGTAGGTAAGCTCTGGCTCTGGCGACTCCTCGGGCGGTGCATTCAAGTTCGGTGGTGGCGCAAAGGATGAAGGGGGAGCAAATCGCCCTGGAGAGAATTAGCATCCTTCGGTAACAAACCGCGAAAGTGGGCTGGGCATATGACCTACTGTTCATTTGCGGCTTCGAGTACTCATCATCACTTTCCAGCTCACTGTTATACCGTTGTGCCAACCGATGCGCATACAGCCTGTCCTTCCATTCTCTGACTTCCCGTATCTTCTCTTCGCTGTGTTTGTATGCCTCGTAGCTGTTGGGTCGTGTCGGGTCGTAGATATCATCCCAATTCTGCACAACAACCTCAGCCCCGTAGTTCTTCTTCCGCTTCTTCCGGCCCCCACGCTGTCTCTTCTCCCCTCCATAGTACCCATTGACGTCGTCATCGTCCGCAGTAGCCGCCCAGTCCGCGAGCGTCGACTTGCCGGCCGGTCGACCGGCGGCCGTAGCAGGACTGGCAGTGCCCTGGTCTGGTGTAGCAGAGCCTGCCGTCCCCGCGACAACAGGCGGCTTCGAAATGCCGGATTTCGCTTTAAGTCTCTGCGCAGGCAGCTGTGGTCTCTTTGTAGGCTGAAACCGTAGAGAAGCTGCAGTCATATAGAAAAAGGAAAAAACCAAAAGAGGATTTTCGGGGTACAAGTGAGCCAATCATGTCGGTACAGACTGTTGAGGAGGGAGGGTATATGCTCTACCGGCACTTATCTGCTGCTTTTTCACGGCAGGGTCATCTTGGGGTGTGTCCGTAGCTTGCTTGAAGACTACCGG